TATTAAATGAAAGAATGCAAATAAAGCATTTTATTACAATGCCCATTACATCCAAAATTTTTAAATGTTAGCACCCTCCCACAAAAATATACATATGCATGCATGTGTACATATACACACACACCACACACACTCACACTTGTGTTCACACCTTAGCAGCACAACAAAACTACCTTAGGTTCTTGTACCCTTTAAACATGTCTTTTTAAAAGTTAAGCTCTGTATGGCACGTACTACCTGCTTATCTTTGGCTTAAGTTTATCTCTCCTGACCACTTCCCTCCTTTCTCTTCTCCCAGAAACATTTGCACCCATCAATAAAATGTATTATTCTACTCATTGTTGGGAGTGCTGCAGCCATTTTCTCATCTAATCCATTATAGGTTACAATTGATGAATGTAAAAGGATATCAGGCAAAACTAGTTTTTCTCTAAAGAAGTTACAAAGTCAACACTGTAAAAATCATTTTCAGAAGCTATAAGATCCATAATAGTCTTTTCATAATTTTTCTAAAGGTAAATGTTTAAATGTCTTAACTCTTGATTTTATATGTCAGGTTTTCAAGCAATTATTTTAAATATTGTCAAACTAATGGTCCTGCTTATAGCTAAAATATATTAGTCCAGTGTACAATTTTAAGTGGCTAACTAATGTAAATATATGATAAATAGCAATCCTGCAATGAAGGAAAATAATTTCAAGTATGCAGTCAAGATTGTCACCTGTACTCTGTTATTTTCTCTGTTACTTGATTTTAGGTAAAAGGAGTCTATCAGACAAACAGAAAGAATATGACAAGATGTATCTATCAAAAAATACACCTGAGGAAATTATTGAACAAGACTTTGTACTCAATAGATGTTCACACATTCATTCATGCAAAGGTATATTAAGCACTTACTTTTTGCCAGACTAGTATTCAACAGGGCAGTGGGCATACAGGTGAATAAAACACCTGCCCAACTAACACTTCTGGCTTTTTCAGGTTTCTGTGTCTCTGTCAGACTCTTCTCTTTCCCTTATCATCTTCCCTCATCCTTTGCAGACACCAGTTGACCCAACGCCACAAAAAGTTAATTAAATATCACCTCTCTATGAGTGTTCTCTGACCTTCTAAATAGATTCCTTTTCTGAACAACACCCCGACCCCAAACGACAATCCTGTGCATGTGCCTTTAGCAAGTTTTTGTACTTCTTGTTATTTTGTCTGCCTTCACACTGGACTGTGAATAACAAGAAACTGAATCTCTACATTAGTCATTATTGTAACCCCAGAGATAGTTAATTGCTTGACACATAGTGCTTGAAAAAGGTACATTGATTTAATAAATACATGATATTATGACTATTTTTCTGGTGAATAAAAGAGCTTAACAAAATCATATTAAAATAAAAGTATTTGAAATGTACAAAAGAAGAAAAATAAAGGAGTATGGATAGAGTGAGACATTGAGGAATAATCATGATGATGATAATGACAACAAAAATAATTGAGATAGCGAAAATAATCGCCACATTAATTATCAATATAAGCATTTTCATAGACAATAGGAAGCAGCAACAAAATGACTCTCTCTTCCTAATTCATCCTCCAGGAGGGATCTGTGACCACATAGACTTACCCACTCTTATCCTATTGCACTTTGCCTGTAGATGCTTCTTTCTCTAGTGAGTCTAAATCCATGCAAAGTATGTAAAACAACTAACACTAGTGGGGTATTCACTCATCCACAAAGTGTTGGAGAGCAGGGATGGTATTGAAACACTTAGGGAATACAGGAAGGAATACAGGAAGGGATGGAAGAAGATCGAAAAACTTTCAATAAGACCACACTTGGCCTCTGATATTCCCCCAAAATCCATTATTCCTCAACCTCCAAGCTGAGAACCCCCCATACCTTCCATATTCTCTAACTAGTGTAAGAACAGCAATGCTTATATAGGCAAAACTGGACCAGGTCAAAGGATCCTTATTTAAGAGGGTGTAAGGATATTGTGGCAGTCAATAGTCTCTGAAGGAAGAAAGCTGGATCTAGTCTCATATTTCTGTTTGGATTTGAGGGAAGAAATTCTTATGCCACAGTTAATTCTCTAAGAATACAATGAAAAAGTCACATTAACACTTATATTAGAAATGTAGTGAATAGTTTCAAAAAAGTTTAAAAATCTTCTGAAACCCGCCCAGGCACCCCCTAGAAAACTATGAACCTCAGGTTGAGACAGACACCTTTTGAGAAGGCTATCAGGCTGGTCAGTAAGGAGACCCTGCTATCAGCTATGATGTTATCCAACTGGGACAGCCAGATGAAGGGGACACTGTGCAGAGACCCTTCACCTCCAGTTTGTGACCTCCTCACAAAGGGATCTGTGGAAGACAGAGAAGATCACAGGTCACCTAGAAGACACTTAACCCTATTTCTGTGGTTAGGAACAGAAAAATAAAACTGGACTGTAAGAGATAGGAATCAAGTAACAGAGAAAATAACAGCGTACAGGTGACAATCCTGAGTGCATACTTGAAATTATTTTCCTTCATTGCAGAATTGCCTTAATCCTGATAGTAAGAGATAGGAGAGTAAGAGATAAGAGATAAAATGACTTGAGAATGGAACAACAATAGATGTCATGAGTGTGTGAAAACAGATGTTTCCATACCTGCGTCTCTTAGAAAGTATCTTCCAGGTCTGTTTCAGAGTAGAGATAAACTCTGGTGGGAAGATTCATAAAACAAAATATTCCCACAATGTTTCCCATTGAGTGTATACAATAATGTAGCATAGTTATGCTTATTTTGCAAATAAATATCTGGAAAAATATGAAGCTTGCACAGTTTTCTGAGAGAATGGAAGTTAATGGCATTTACCTTGGACCCTAGAATTAGTACAACCAATATCTAAGACAACAACTTCAGTGTCAGTGAAACTACTACATATACATTAAAAATCTAAAAAACTACCATAAGTTGAAAAGAGACAAGTCTTTATGAAAAGTGCATCTGGATAAAAATGTAGCTTCAGAGAAAAGCCACCAGTATGTGTCCTTTCTGCTTATCCCCTATGGAACAGCAGAGATTTCTGCCTTGATTGCACAGAAGGAAGGCATGCACATAGAAATGAACACTATTTGAGGAGCGAACACAGCTGGATAATAAAAGAAGACACTTTTTTTTCAAAGCTGTTCATTTTTCAATCAGCAAGATTAAGATATAATTACAAAATGACTGTCACATGGAATATTATTTGACTCCTGAGAATGAAAGTTTTATTTTTTATGTAAGCAGAGAGAAATAAAGGTTGGTGTCTCTGCAACTTATTTTCCTAACACCCCTGCCACCTGTGTTCCCACTGCCTCTACTCCACATCCCCTAACCGGACAAGCTCAAAGATTTGACTCTCAGAGAGTTCAGGTAAAATGGGAGCCAAAAAGCTTTCAGAGCTGAAATATTCAAGCACAGAGACAAGTAGTCTTAATCTAGCTTGGAGTGAGTCTTGTGTCTGGTAACCAAATTCACCAGAGCAGAAATCCTGCTTTCTGTCATCCCTAGAACACTAAATAGAAAAGCATTTCTATTCTCTGACAGTATTCTCAACAAATATTATATTTGATAAACTTGTGTATTGTGGCATGTTTGTGAGTAGACACACTACACTGGGCTAACGGTCTCTTGATTTAATAATCCAATGTGTTAAGAAATATATCTGCCCACAACTCTGCATAGAGCATCCTTGACCTCCTTGTTTCTTAGTCTGTAAACAACAGGGTTCAGCAGGGGAGCGATGATGGTGTAGGTCACTGACAGAAGGAGGTCTTGTTCTGTAGAGTTTTCTGACTTGGGCTTGAGGTAGGTAGTGGAGGAACAGCCACGGTGGACAATGACCACAGTGAGGTGGGAGGCACAGGTGGCAAAGGTCTTCTTCCAGCCCTCAGTTGAGGCAATTTTAAGGAAGAAAGAGATGATGAGGACATAGGAGGTAAATATCAGGCCTATGGGCACAAAAATCACAAATTAACTTACACCATAATTTATTATCTCATCGATAGTGATATCAATGCAAGAAAGTTTCATGACTGGGTAAATGTCACAAAAGAAGTGGTCCACCACTGTGCCACAGAAGGGCAAACTGAACATGGCTGTCACATGGAGAACTGCCATAGACCAATGCCAAAGGACCCAAACACCAGCTGGGCACATAGGCCCTTGCTGATGATGACAGTGTACCTCAGGGGCCTGCAGACAGCCACATAGCAGTCATAGCCCATTGCAGTAAGCAGGAAGCAATTATTAATGGCCAAGATAACAAAAAAGAACATTTGGGTTGCACAGCCTGCCAAGGAGATACGCTGGTTATGAAAAATGAGGCTGCAAAGCAATCGTGGCACAATAACCAGTGTGTACACCATCTCTGAACTAGCCAGCATGCTTAGGAAGAAACACATGGGAGTGTGGAGATGATGGTCAATGCAGACGATAGTCACAATGATGATGTTACCGGCCAGAGTTAAAATGCAGACAGTTAGGAAAACCCCAGAGATGGTTATCTGATGCTTTCCCAAACTAGAGAATCCCAAGATGAATTCTGTCACTTCTGTGAAGTTCTTTCTCTGCATTCTGCTATGTCAGTGCCTGAAAGCAATAAATGGAGTCAACAAGGAGTAAATTCTCAATAGCAATTGGACTTTAAAACAAAGAACAATGATAACTGTACTGAGACTGAATCCAATTTCCTTCTTTTTGATTATAATGCTCATGCAGAGTCCTTGCACATGAAGAGAGAAGCCTACTTGTACCTCTTTGGGGCTGTATACATATGAACATTGTCACTGTAGAGCAAACTACTTTCTGTGCATGGAAAGGGCTCCTGCCTGCATGCTCACCTCACAGACATTATAGTGATGTTAGGAAGGGAAAAGGACAGCAAGGAGAAAGCCATGCTTTATATTTCAACCAATAATAATATCCACTCTTTAGACCCTCTTAACAAGGAGGACTCTGGTGAAGTGCATGTCAAGAAAACCATAAAGATGAAAGTTTTGTGGAAAAAAAAGATATAGCAGTTTGAAATATTTGAAGACGGAAAACTTTGGGATGTGGTCACTGGATTTCGTAACAGGGTCACCAATGAGCTTTTACACAGCATTTCAGTTGAATTATGAATATAGAAACTTGATTTTGGAGAGGTAATGTGGTCCAAACATGTTATTGTACTCTCAAAACAGAACACCTACAACACAGATTCTGCCATTATCTCTCCGCTAAAATTGATCGCTCAAGTCCCCAAGGAAATCTTTTTTTTTTTTTTTTTTTTTTTTTTTTGCAGATTCTAGCTGTCCTTTTGAGTGAAGTCAGGAAGAGAGTGCTGTGACAGAAAACATTGTGTAGTTGCCACCGTCATTATGAAGGATTGGGACAGCTTGAGGTATAGAAGAGACTCCGGAGTTGAGAGAGGAATCTGCAGCTATCTGTAGCCCAACTGGCTTAACTATTTTTAAAAATATGGTGAACAGACAATTTTGAGAAGCAGAGACACTAGTCCCTTTTGTCAAAAAGCAAGCGCATATAAACTGTATGGAGAGCATACATCTGATCCTGTGGTTCTCTTTAGTGACTGTTCTCCCTTTATTTTCAGAAGCATTAAAACAGGCTTTCTTTCCCACTCTCCATAATTCCCTGCAAGTTGGCTTTGGCATGTTCATGCCCATGAGATTGTTTGCTCAAATGTCACCAAAGAATTCTCCATTGCTAAGGCCACTGGACTTTGCTTTATCTCCTTTTTCTCATCTTTCTCTGTTTTAACACTTCAAACTCCTACCTCATGGAAACATTCTCTGACTTTGGTTTCCATGAAACTACACTGTTTTTCTCTCTTCCCAGCACTCATTTTGCTACCTTCCATGAATCTGCTCATTTTCCCTCTACCATAATTATGTATGCTCTTCTCTGGTCAATCCTTGACCCTTGTGTGTGCAATTTCTGTGATGATTGTTCTCAAATCTCTATTTTCATCACCAATCTTTTTCCCAAGTCTCCAACTTACCTCACTCTTGGCTTCTCTATTAGTGTTTCTTGCAATCATAATAAATTTCATATTTTTGAAAGTGAACTAAACATTAACCTTTCTTATACTCATAAAAAGCTCTGCATTTCCATTTTTCTGTCTTCTTTAATGACCTTGCCATTTTACCTGTCCATTAATGGGTCAACATTTTGGAGCCATATCTATTTTGACATCACATTCAGTGGGCTTTTTCTTTAAAGTTATGTCTCCTGTCTGCACAATTTCTGAATTCACAATGACCCACTTAAGACTAGTGTACCAAATCTTCTAGCCAGAATAATAAAACATTTTCCCATTATAAAATTTATATGAATATGCAGAAGACCAAGAATGCTAAGACAATTTTAGGAAAGAAGTACAAAGTTAAAGAGCTTACACTACTTCATTTGAAGGCTATGGTAATCAAGATAGTATGGTATTGATGCAAGTGCAGGCAATAGGAAAAAACGGAGAGTCCAAAAGTAGACCCACATATATCTAGCCACTGATTTTTGATAAAGTGCAAAGGTATCTCAGTGACAGTATTTTCAACAAATGTTGCTAGAAGAAATGAATGTCTATATGGGAAAAATGAACCTCAAACCTTATATCTCACACACACACACACACACACACACACAAAAATTAAGGATGAATCACAGATATTTATATAAAAGATAAAGCTATACAAATTCCAGACAAAAATAAGAAATAAAATCTTCAATACCTTGAAATGAGCAAAGATTTCCTGGATATAAAACAAAAAGCATAACCCATAAAACAACAAAATCACAAACTGTACTTTATCAAAATCAAAAGCTTCTAATCTTCAAAAGACATCGTTAGAAAAATTAAAAGGCTTGGACAGGTGCAGTGGCTCATACCTGTAATGCAAGCACTTTGGGAGGCTGAGACAAGCTAATCACTTGAGGCCATGAGTTAGACACCAGCCTGGCCAACATGGTAAAACCTCATCTCTACTAAAAATACAAAAATTAGCCGGTCTGGTGGCACACACCTGTAATCCCAGCTACTCAAGAGGCTGAGGCATGAGAATCACTTGAACCTGGGAGGTGGAGGTTGCAGTGAGCCAAGATTGTGCCACTGCCCTCCAGCCTGTGTGACAGAGTGAGACCACATCAAAAAGAAAAAAAGAAAAGAAAGAAAGAAAAGATAAATGAAAAGGAAAACCACAAGTAGGAGGAAATATTTACAATATATATGTCTAAAATTGTAACCAGCATATATAAATAATTCTTATAACTCAATAATAAGACACATTTTTCATCGGCAAAATATTTGAAGAGATATTTCACAAAAATAAGATATAGAAATGTTCAGTAAGCACAGGAAAGAATGTTCAACATCATTAGCCATTAAAAAACTTGTAAACTAAAACCACAATGAGATACCACGACACACTCATTTGAATGGCTAACATTTAAAAGCCTAACAACAAAGAGTTTTGGCAAGTAAGTAAAGAAGTTGAAACTTAAACATTGCTGGTGGAAATGTAAAACAGAATCACCAAGTTGGAGAACAATTTGGCAGTTTTTTATAAAGTTAAATATGTACTTACTCCATCACTCAGTAATTTTTTCTACATGTTGACACAATAGGAATGAAAATGTGTGTCCACATAGAGACAGGAATATGTAAATAGCCCTATCAGCTTTCTTCCTAAATGTCAAAAAACTGCAAATAACCCAAATGTCCAAGATATAACACATCCATATAATGAAACACTGCTCAGCAATAAGAGGAACAAATTTCTAAGACTAACAGCAACATGGTGGAATCTTTAAAACAGTATGCTGAATCAAGTCAGACACAAAATAGTTAATATGGTATGATTCTATTTACTCTAGAAATACAAATCTAATGTATACTGACAAAAAAAAGTGGTTGCCAGAATTGCTGGGGAATTGACCAAAAAAGAACACAAGGGAATTTATTGGAGTAAAAGAAATGTTATTGATTGTGAGGGTGGTAATACAAGTGTATACATTTGTCAAAACTCACCAAAATGTATACCAAAAAATTGGCAAACTTTGCTATGTTATATTTTAATTGTATTGCATTGTATTATATTGTATCATGTAATATATTGTATCATACTGCATTATACTTCATCAAAGTTAATTCATTTGGACACGAATAAGATTGTATCCCTATGAATCTGTTGCTACTAGACTTAGCATCCTTTAGGTGGATTAATTATGATGGAAGAAACATTGGAATTGGCTGGGACTTGGGAAATCTGGAACCTGATCTGGAGTCTGTCAATGTCAAAACAAAACATGTGGTCTGGGGCAAAGATGTCTCCACGGCCTCAAATGCCAAATAAGGAGCTTAAACAAGATTGTCTCTAAGTTCTAATATACTAATCATATATCACTTCTCTGGTCTGGTAAGTACAACTCTGCTGCGCTGATAAGGCCCTGCACTATCAGACTATTCTTACACAGCAAATCTGCCATCTTCACTATCTCCTCTACTGCAAAAAAAAGCCGACCTTCCCAGGGTCTACGAACATTCCAATACCCATTGTCAAAGCTGTGCCTGTGTTCATATTTTTCTTCTTACCTGGGTTGTCCTCCACTCCCCGTTGCCCACCCAGATTCCAAGTCCTCCGTGCTTGGAAGCACATCCTTATCATTCACAGAACAATCTTAACATAAAATCACCAAATGAAATCATATTCTTATTCTTTGCTTAAATACAGAATTTTTAAACGACCAAATTAGATCTATTTTTAATGGTTAAAAATTGTTTCTTAGGAGTATTTCAAGACTCAGCTCATTGCCTAGCATCTTCATGAAATCATCTCACAACAACCTTGTTCCTCACTTCTCTTTCTTTCACAAAGCCTATACCCAATGGTGTGCTGGAGGCAGTTTGCACCACCTCACCAGAGAAGATTGCTACCATTCTTTCTCAGCTCCGTACTCTGTAGTATCATCTGGGTAGATTAAGATCTGCTATAGAGAAATAGTGTTAACTCAGAAATCGACACTCAGTATCAGGACTTTTTTTTTTTTCCTGGAGAGTTGGTTGTTAAAAATCTACCAACACACCACTGCCTTCTTCCTTGTACCATATGCTGTGGCCCAGTCCATGTTATCTTGCATTGTTGTCTGTTTTCTCCCGTGTGTCAGTCTTCTTTCCCAAATTAGATTGTAAACACTATGAAAGAATGTGCCAGGGCTAAATCTTCTCAGTCCTTCACACAATTCACTCAGAGAGTCCTTCAATACGCACTAGGTGATTGAAGAGTAGGAAGAATCCGGAATTCTTATTGTACTATAATTGGAACTCAATTTGCCAAGGAGACAGACTTAGCTACCCATGAAAGTAGTGGGACTCGCCAGCCTCCAGCTCCCAGCATGAGCGACATAGAAGACGGGTGATTTCTGCATTTTCCACTGAGGTACCGGGTTCATCTCACTGGGTCGTGTCAGACAGTTGGTGCTGGTCAGAGGGTGCAGCCCGACCAGTGAGAGCTGAAGCAGGGCAAGGCATCGCCTCACCTGGGAAGTGCAAGGGGGAACAGAATTCCTTTTCCAACCCAAAGGAAATTGACACACACAACACCTGGAAAATCGGGTAACTCCCACCCTAATACTGTGCTTTACCAAGGGTCTTAGCAAATGGCACACGAGGAGATTATATCCCACACCTGGCCCAGAAGGTCACATGCCCACGGAGCCTCCCTCATTGCTAGCACAGCAGTCTGAGATCTAACTGCAAGGTGGCAGCTAGGCTGGGGGAGGGGTGCCCGCTATTGCTGAGGCTTAAGTAAGTAAACAAAGCCAAAGGGAAGCTTGAATTGGGTGGAGCCCACCACACCTCAAGGAGACCTGCCTGCCTCTGTAGACTCCTCCTCTGGGGACAGGTCATAGTTAAACAAAAAGCAGCAGAAATCTCCACAGAGGTAAATGCCCCCATCTGACAGCTTTGAAGAGACCAGTGGATCTCCCAGCACAGAGGTTGAGATCTGAGAACAGACACACTGCCTGCTCAAGTGGGTCCCTGACCCCTGAGTAGCCTAACTGGGCGGCATCCCCCACTAGGGGAAAAATGACACCTCACACCTCACCCAGCGGGGTACACCCTTGATACGAAGCTTCGAGAGCAAGAATCAGACAGCAACACTTGCTATTCAGCAATATTCTATCTTCTGTAGCCTCCGCTGCTGATACCCAGGCAAACAGGGTCTGGAGTGGACCTCAAGCAAACTCCAACAGACCTACAGCTGAGGGTCCTG